CTTCTTTTATTCCTTTTCATTCCCATCTCCTTCCTCCCTTCTTCCCTCCCTAACTGCCTATCTCCTTCCTTCCTTCCTTCCTTTCTTCTCATTTCCATTTCCTTCCTTCCTCTTCCTTCCCATTTCCTTCCTTCCTTCCCTCCCTCCCTCCTAGGTTTCTCTTGCCATCTCCCTCCCTCCCACTCTCCTCCCTTCCCTCCCTCCCTCCCTCTGCTCCGGGGAGATGTGTGCTGTGAAGAACATTGTCATTGTGGTTTTCTATCGCACTGTGCCAAGAAGCCAACAAATCTTTGAAGAGGGGCACCGAAACAGATTTAAGAATCAGGCCTTAGAAACTTTAAAAAGCTGAAGGGATCCATTCACTTTTTCTGTCCCCAGGAAAGGGACTCCCTTTCTCCACGCTCACCTGCGTAAAGTCATACAACTCTTTCCGCACAAAATTATTTCCTCCGACGTCAACCGTTTAATGGGCTTGAACTGACAGCGAGTCAGTGAAATCAAGGCCCTGACCTTCGTTACTGATTAGAAAGTGTGAGGGACGCAAAGTCCGTGTGTTTGTGGCGCGTGCTGTGCTCACGCTCGGATCGTGTGTGTTTCCCTTCTCCGGCCCTGGTGGAGTATCCCGACTTGTACTAAAGGAGAAGGGAAAACAACAGGCCCATATCTCATTCTTGGAAGTGGTCAAGACGGCAAGCCTGGATGGAAAACTCAGCTGGCGGTTGTGCGTCAGAGTCGCAGAGCCTTCCTACTTCTATATAAAAACGCTCCCTGCATTTCTTTTTTGTTCATGCTAAATAGCCAAAAAAAAAAAAAAAAAAAATGCTGACAGCAGGAGGGCAGGAAGAAAGCTGTGAGCGGGATTATAAATTTAAGTTTTCTTTTGGTGTGTGTGTTATTCTTGCCAAATGCATCCACCGGGAGGCTTCCAAAACTCTTGCAGTTTGGCAAAATGTTCCTTCCTCCCTTCCTTCCCTCTTTCACATTCTTTCTCTCCTTCGCTCTCATCATCTTCCTTTCTCTGTCTTCCACCAGGAAGGAAGAGTGGATGGTTTTCCTTTAGAATATAGACTTTTTGAACAAGGTTTTGCTCCTGCTGTTTTGGGGGACAGGGGAAAAGTGGGGTTTTCTCTTTAGAGGTCTGTGCTGAGTTGTGGACACCAATCAGAACCTGAAGAAACGAATTAGCACTCCTATTGGCAATCCTCGATTTGCAACCATTCATTTACAGGCATACAACCGGCCCTCGCACTTACAACTTGCCTGACAGTTTTATGTCTGTTAGTAGCATGGCATGGCAATGATTCTTAGCTGGGTACCTTCCATCTGAATCAGGACAGAATAACAGAATAACAGAGTTGGAGGGGACCATGGAGATCTTCTAGTCCAACCCCCTGCTCAAGGTTGGACTCCCTATAGGACAGACCCCTATAATTCCTCTAGTGAGCACCATGGCTAGATGAAGCTGACGAAGGTAGAAGATTGACCTGCCAGGAGGACGTCAGCTTGAGGGAAGCTGCTTTCAGAGAATTGCAAAAAGCATCTCAGTTGGGGATAGATATCTAGGCTTGGACCTCAAAACTGCTAG